AGAAAAAAGAAAAAAGGCAACACCTTACAATACAACAAAATACGAATGCGAACCTGTAGGCGATCAGAACGAGTGAGATAGGCTACTTCGTTACTGTATAGTTTACAGGATAGAACTATTTAGTATAGGAAAAAACAAGTGTTAGTATTATTTAACTTACACTATACCTACTAAACGCCCACCGGAAAGCAAATTATGTTTATATTTCATTTCACTCTAATTACAAAACTCACGGCACCTTACGTCAACTCACTTCGCACACACTAAACTATACAAGTACGAAGGCGACGACTAAACAAATTCTGGTTGTTGTGAAGAAATGGTACGAAAGGGAAAAGTAATCGACCGAACGAGTTAGTTCTCCACTCTGTAAGAAATTTACAAAAGAAATGGGATGAGTTCGAACAATACAAGAGACATATACATATGAACAGTTTTAGAGCTGAAGGTGAAGGTAACTTGCTCCGTAAAATCGCTGACATTCTTCAAGGCTATCGCCTGGCAAACAAGCGGTGCAAATTTTCTTAGATTTTAATATTTCACATTTCGGACCCATCCTAGCATTAGTTATGGATAACTATAGCTTTCTCTGCAGCATGTGATCCACGAACTCCACGAGACTTGTTCATGTGATCGAGGCCAAGATATGGCGATGTTGCTAGTGCTAAATAAGCTCAAACTCATTGCACTGAGATAGATTCTGAAAATAAGTCTACCGTACTTATTAATATTTGATGACTTACATGCGACATGAGCATGACCAAGCTCAGCCAGGTTCACCCTCCCATTCGAAGTCATGTCAAGATACCTCACAACCCTAGAGGACGAGATTAGCGCAAATTTATACTTCTCGTACTCCTTCTCCGGAATTTCTAGTCTAGCTTGGATACGCTCTCGAACGCTGGACAGTAACTCGTCATTAGAGACCTGAAGAATGCAAAATCAATGAAAAGCTATGAACTTCCACTAACTGCTACTGTATATCGAGAAGGCTGCAGCGTACCTTTAAGAAGAATGGAACGCCAAACATTCGTCCTGGATCCTTATCAAAATGAGCGATCGGCACAAGATACTCGTTATTCCTGACTACAAGTTGATCTTGTGGTACTTCTTCAACACGCCCCTGAAGTATGATACAGTGACACAAAAATTGAGCTTAAAGAAAAGATGAAAGCAGAATGGGTCTTGCGTAGCAAAGTTGCTCACCATGTACATCGATGGCGTCATCGTCTTTTGGAAGACTTCCATCACTGAAGTTTCCTCTTTGAAG